AATCCTAACTTACATGATCCAGGCCTTGCCACATAAATTAGAGATGCACTTAAAAATATTACACAAACATGAACTATGATTGAGCAAATATTTGAAAAGAAGGATGTTTGTGTTGTAGCCATGTTTCCAGTTGTCTCAGCCCTTTTGTGTCTCTTAACCGCTGCAGTCATTAAAGTTTATACATTAGTATCCGGTTATGATAGGTCCGTTACCTATCGATCATGACGATACTTTACCAATTGAATTGAAAACAAGTGATTTTACCAATTATCGCTCAAAAATGAAGAAGAAGAACTTGCCTTGATCCTTGGCTTGCGATCGGACAGCTTCTGCAACTCTATCTTGCAGTAAGAGTGCAGCGTTGCCAGTCTGACTACAGTATACAAGTACACCCAACCCGCAAGATTCTACAGCATCGATGAGGATACTGTTGCATGATTACCCTGGTGTCATACAGTTTGACTGACTAATCTGTTATGCATGTTTTACGAATTAGGTAAGGCAGCAATAGCTAATGGCTACGAATGATGGAGCAAGAGTTTGGGATTGGATAGAATCTGTCTTTCTATCGACTGTACTGTTATCATGCATGGATCAATCTGTCTTGTTGATTGCTGTATGAGGAAATAGTGTAAAGTAGTTGACAAAATTTTATTTTCGGAGTGTTGGGTTACTGCTAAGCCAGGCGATGTAAAATGGATGTCATCAGTGTCGAAGCCAGTTGGAGTATGGCGTCAAGATTTTACATGTCTTGATACGACATCTGTTTTACACATGTTTTATGGATTCTAGTTCACTACTGTATGGAGTAGTGAAACCTGACGAGTTTTAGCCTTGAAGATTGCAATCTATGGCTATCGAATATGGAGTATCGCTCAATGGAAAATGACACAGTGGATGACTGGATGACAGTGGTTGTTGTTTTTTTTGTTGGGTTACTGCTAGGCCAGGCGATGTAAAATGGATGTCATGAATGTCGAAAGCCAGTTGGAGTATGGCGTCAAGATTTTACATGTCTTGATACGACATCTGTTTTACACATGTTTTATGGATTCTAGTCCACTACTGTATGGGAGTAGTGAAACCTGACGAGTTTTAGCCTTAAAGATTGCAATCTATGGCTATCGAATATGGAGTATCGCTCAATGGAAAATGACACAGTGGATGACTGGATGACAGTGGTTGTTGTTTTTTTTGTTGGGTTACTGCTAGGCCAGGCGATGTAAAATGGATGTCATGAATGTCGAAAGCCAGTTGGAGTATGGCGTCAAGATTTTACATGTCTTGATACGACATCTGTTTTGCGGATTCTAGTCCACTACTGTATGGAGTAGTGAAACCTGACGAGTTTTAGCCTTGAAGATTGCAATGTATGGCTATCGAATATGGAGTATCGCTCAATGGAAAATGACACAGTGGATGACTGGACAGGGATGCCACTAGCATGCGGTATCGAGCGGCAAAACCTGCCGAGTTATTCACCTTGATATCTCTATCGAATACTGAATATCGTCCAAGTGCAAAGAGCACAGTGGACAACTAGACGAGGATGCAACGTCGACAACTTGACAGGGATGCAACCGGCATACTGTATCGAGTAGCAAAAGCTGCCGAGTATTTACCCTTGACGTCTGTATCAAATATTCAATATCGCTCAATTGTAAATACCACCGTCAACAACTTGACAGGGATGCAACTAGTAAACAGTACTGCAGTTATCGAGTAGCAAAACCTGCCGAGTTTCTAAGCTTGACATCACTATCGAATATGGAGAGTCCATGTTGCTCAACTGCAAATAACACAGTTGACAGTACTCCAATATGTAGGATTGGAGATAGACCTGACTTGGAGATCAAAGTTGATAGAACAAAATGGACAATTTGCAGAATGAAAGTTGCAATCAACCAGGTCCAACAGCTTGACTACAAGTACTATACACACTCCTCAAGCTTCCTCCAGTACTGTACTGTAGAATATTGAGAGTCCATGTTGCACAACTGCAAATAACACAGTTGACAGTACTCCAATATGTAGGATTGGAGATCAACCTTGCAATTTTCAGTTGATACAATAAAATGGACAATTTGCAGAATTCAAGTTGCAATCAACGAGGTCCAACTAGACCTGAGAAAGGTTCGATTCAATACCTTTTTGGTCGATATAAGAACCTGAACTTGAACCGCTTTGACATCAATCAAACCTGAACCAAACCGATTTTACCATTATATCCGCCATTACACTCCTCAAGCTTAACTACTGTACTGTATATCCGCCATCACACTCCTCAAGCTGCCTCTAGTAGGGTGCTGTATATCCGCCATCACCAGTTTACTCAACACCTACAGTACCGTAGTGTACAGTACAGTACCGCTAAGTATGTACTGTACACCGTACAATACAGTTCAGTATGGCGCTAGAAAGGGAACCCTTGGAAAGTACTGTAACCAGCGGAAAAGTGAATCCCGCATACGATTGTCGTGCAATCAACTCACTCACTAAGACGTTTCATACAGTCAAGTCGAGTGACTCTCCAATACAGTCAGACACCATCGATCGATCGCCAACAAAGTGTCACTACTGGTTGGTACGTTTTCATATGGTCGAGTGACTGCCAACTGCAATTGCCAGTGTAATCGACTTGGCTGGAAAGCTTTGAGTTGGAAATTGACAATCTGCTAGAGAACATTTGCAGAGAAAAATTAGGCTAGAATAGTCAAGAAACTGCATCTAAATTGATTGAAATTGAAGGAAAAAGGAAAGAAAGAATGTCTGGGAGTGAAGAGGAATTTTCTGCTGGCGAAGAAGAGCTAGAAGACGAAGTGGACGATGAAGAAGACGAGGAGGACTTGGTAAGTCGAATCATGTCGGTTGCTAACATTGTACAGTCTGCTTGGATTGCATTTGATACCTATTACTTTGAGAGTGGAATGGCTAGTTTGGATATCATTGACTGTGGTAGTCGTCCCATTCAGTTCTTGAGTCGTGCAGAAATAAGATAGTCATGGATGACAGCCAAGAAATGATTTAAATGAATAGGCAAGGAGTGATATTTTTCCCGTCATCCTTTACTGGACCAGTCAAAACCAACGATAGACTGGTGCAGAAGAAGGCTAATAGGACGGCGTCGTTGTACAGTTGCTAGACATGGACAACATCAAGTCCATGGTGTAGGATTACTACTTAGAGTGGTAGTGTACAGTAGTGAAGAATAATATAGAATCGAATATCATAACGTCTAATAGAGCCCGCCATACAAATGTCGATCAAGTCCAAGCCGATCTTGATACCTGGTATCAGCGATCCCCAGTCTTGACCGTGACGGTCCATATTTTAGCTGAACACGCTAAGTTAATCCCGAGTTGAAGCCATAAGACGATAGCAGAGTCCAAACGATATTACTGCTCACATCTTATAGGGCCCGCCATACAAATGTCGATCAAGTCCAAGCCGATCTTGATAGCTGGTATCAGCGATCCCCAGTCTTGACCGTGACGGTCATTATTTTAGCTGAATACGCTAAGTTAATCCCGAGTTGAAGGCATAAGACGACAGCAGAGTCCAAACGATATTACTGCTCACATCTTACTACACTGACAGCAATAGCCAACGATAGCGTTGTATCATGGATTGAGTAGCACATTGGCAGACTTACAAATGACCTGAAAGTCAACGTCTGATCGTCATGATCAATTCAACTGCCACCATGTACTAGCATTACATTTGAAAAACAGTGGCAAGATAGATCAACGTATGTAGGGCAGAACTACGATTGATCAACGTTACCATCATCAATTGTACATTTCCCAGTGGAATATTGATAGTCTTCAAGACCATATACGATACGATAATAGGATGATATCCAACGCAACAAGCCACTCATAATCATTACTAATTGCATTGATCCATGAAGAAATTGAAATATTCCATTGACCGTAGGATGATGATGAATCATATGATGATGAAGATGAAGACAGTTATTTGAAGAAAAGCAAGAAACCAAAGAAGAGAAGTGCTTTCATTATTGAAGAAGCAGGTGCGTATGTTGTCGCTCAATTGTATTCATAAAGTTCTGTCGTGAGGACATAGCCATGAATAATTATACGCGTATCTTGTCACTTAGACGTCGATGATGGACAGGATGATGAAGATGATGAGGAATGGGAGGAAGGTGCCGAAGAAATAATTGATCAAGCAGGTTAGCTGGAATTCCTCTTTCAAGGTTCCTTCATAGACTTGATCAACATTCGATTAAATTCCATCAAGTTAATATTACACTTAGCTTCGAACTGTATTGCGCTAACGGTCGTTTGTAATCAAAAGTTATTCCATCTTCTTTCTTTGTATAGTGGATGTGGAACCTCTTTCCAAAGAAAACGATATCAAGGTAACCGTAACAATTGGGTATATATGTGTGCAGTGAGAATAGAGTTGTGTCGACTTTTTCCCTAATATTGATTGATATTGTTCAACAATACATTTGCAATAACCATTATCGATAAAAACTTGTTTTTCTTCCGATTAATTATTTGATAGTTTCGAAGAGATATTGATCTTATGCTAAGGTATGACCATTAGGATAGTTTCTTGATAGTGATAATACTTTTCAATATAGTCCTGAGCGACATACAATTCTAACAAATTTGCAAAGCTAACCGCTCCAATTACTATAAAAGCGAAAAGAAAGAAAATGAAATTAATGAATATTATCGTCGAAAATATGCTGCAACGGATAGAACCAAGTAAGACAGCGTAAAAGTTGACCCTTTTACTAATTATTACTCAATTGACCTTGGAGTTGAACGTTGTAGTAAATAATGCAACACTATAGTTGGTGGCATGTAATTTCATTATTCTTTATGATAGGCTAAGTGATCATCCGGATGAGGTGAAGCAAAAGAGTAAATTACCAGACATAAAGTAAGAGTGTATCTTATCGAATTACTGAATGATTTGAAATTGGACTACCATCTAAAACTCGTTATGTATTCGCGCATTGCCTTATTAGGGATCCAAATCTTTGGATGGTCAAGTGCAAGGTACGGAGTGGTATTGAAGCTTTTCCTTCAATGTTTCCTAATCTTATACTCCTATATTCCAAATAGATTGGGGAAGAAAAATCCGTTGCAATAACCCTCATGAATAAATTTATTTCCTTTGAAGCTAAAGGGACGGTAAGCCTTCTTTAGAAATGCTCTTACGTGCTTGACATAGTTAGACATTTATCATGATGTTGTGATGGATTGACGTTATCATCTTTGCACTTCGTAGCCATTGCAAATTAAATCTGTGGTAGCTGTGGAAGGATTGAAAGGTTACATTTACGTCGAAGCTTTCAAGCAGAATCATGTTAAGCAGGTTAGATCGAAACTCATGATTGAGATTGAGATTTACTACGCGTATAAATGATCTGTTGCTGAGGCTGAAGTACATGCGTATGTATTTATAAGGCAATAGAAGGAATCGGCTACCTTCGATTGGGATACTATAAACAACAGATGGTACCTATTAAGGAAATGACGGATGTTTTAAGAGTTGTAAAGAGTATTCCTGACTTACAAGCGGATGGTTGGGTTCGACTTAAGCGTGGAGTGTATAAAGATGATATTGCAAAGGTTCTATTTAATTGTATAATCCATCAACGCTGATGACATAATTATACTAATCATTAGCAATTTTTTTTAGGTTATTAAAGTAGATAACAACCGAAATCAGGTAATTAAAGTAACATAGACGAAACTGTCATCGCAATATGTTGCCAATAAATACTTACCTAGAATATTGTATGCGGTAAAAATGTATACTATAGTGTATTAATATTCTATCATATTTTTGTTTAGGTCACGTTAAAAATGATTCCTCGAATTGATTTAACCCGTAAACGTGGAGAGAAGCAATCTGTACGTACGGATATTATTGAGCAGGTTTTATAATAAACTAATTAGACCGTTGAAATTGAGAATTGAAAAAAGAGTTTTTAATTCGTATTTTTAGCACGATGGTGAAAAGCGCAAAAGAAAAGGAAGACCAAAAGCTAAACTATTTGATATGGATTTGATAAGGTGTGATAAATGTTAGCTTATGAATAAAGATTTACAGTTCCGATGTGATCAGATGATTTATTTTAAATAAACTTGATTGAATCGTTGGTAAATGTTCATAGGTCAATCAATGGAGAAGTTACTAGTGAAGGTGGATATTTAGTGTTTGAAGGAAATCGATTTAGGGAGGGATTTATGTATAAAACCATGGCCATGTCTGCTATTGTAAGAAAATGTCAACATTTAATTTAAAATCATACAAATCGAGAATTCTGTGTAACTAATGATAGTCTGCATTGAATTAAATGATATGTCATACATAGAATGCGGAAGGTGTCATTCCTAGTCTTACTGAGTTAGAAAATTTTGAACTTGACCCAGATACAGTTGCTGTCTCTAAAGGTTGGATTGTATGCCTTTTTTAATTTTTCCTCATTTTTATTGGAAAAAGCAAATATTGCTTTATGTAATAAATTTACATATTCGTTAAATGTTTTACAGATCTTACCTCCATTCTGGACAAGGATTCACCAGTTTTTGTTGCTGGTGACGTTATTAAGGTACAAAATGGTGACTTAAAAGGGCTACTCGGTGAGGTGATAGCTATTAATGTGGATATAGTCACAGTGATGCCAAAGCATGAAGATTTAAAGGTTCGCATTTAAAGCTGTTTAATTCGATTAGGAATTTGTTATATCGACTTAATGTTAATTACGTAATTATCTGTAGGAACCTTTAGAATTTCGCCTTGATCAAGTAAGCAAAACTTTCAAAATTGGAGAGCACGTCAAAGTTGTTAGAGGTAAATTTGAAGGAGATACTGGTCTTGTGGTTCGGGTTAATGAAGAAGATGACGGTTTAGTTTTGTTTACCGACTTGACAATGCACGAGGTAATCATGAAGAAGCGAAAATTTTTTGCGACTCTAGAATAGAATAAAGTTATAAATTTGAAATTGTAATTTATTGCATTAGGTAAAGGTGCTCACGCGTGATGTACAATTATGTACGGAAATTAGCAGCGGTATTGATTCCTCTGGTCATTTTCAGCTTGGCGATTTAGTTCAAATTGAGTATGAGTCATTTAATTGCATAGGTTGCTTTCGTTGTCCCACGCTTAAATTGTAAGTATAATTAATTAAAGCCATCTCTCTTGTTCTAAATAGTTCACAAACAGTGGGTTGCGTTGTACGCGTTCTACGAGAAGAAATGGCTGTATTAAATATGCATGGCAAAGTTGTCAAAGTTAAGCCGCAAAGTATTTCTAAAAAGCGAGACTCTCGTAATGCAGTTGCATTGGATGGAGACGGGGTAATTATAACCTTGTCAGTTTCAGCGATACGCCATCTTGCTCATTATAAATGATTAGTTTAATTAATTGATTTTTTTCACTTACTGTAATGCGTAGAATGCACTTCATATTAAAGATATCGTCAAAGTCATTGATGGACCTCATAACGTTAGTACCAATAAAGAAGGTTGCTGTGTTGCTTTTTCATATGTATACAATATATTCTTTATGATTATCGAACTTGTTCTTTTGCTACAGGGACAGCAAGCTGAAGTCAAGCACCTGTTTCGAAGTTTTGTATTTTTATACTCTAAAATGTTTCCAGATAATGGTGGCATTTTTGTTTGCAGAAGTCGCCACTTAATACTTGCTGGCAGTGCAAAGGTATTTACGAACTTACTTACTTATGATGACGTATAAATAAAATGATGTAATCGATTTTGGTACAACTTTCATCTGTTTGCAATGCATAAAAAATTTTATAGCGACAAGATAACGGTGACAGTAGAACACCATTTGTCCCGCAATCACCTCGAATCACTAGCCCAGCTCATCCTCAAGTGCAAGGTTTAACTATGATTGCTCACATAACATTACCTTATAACTTTATCACTGTTCGCTTGGATTAAAATAATTGAACGATATTAGGAGTGAGACATGGACCAGGTGCAGGTAGAGGTCGGGGAAAGAAAGGACGCGATCCTATAATTGGCCAGAGTATTCGCATATTCCAAGGACCTTTCAAGAATTATATCGGAATTGCCAAAGACGCCACAGATACAACCGTCCGTGTAGAATTGCATAGTACATGCAAAACAATCACTGTTGATCGCAGCAGAGTGGTAGTCGTAAAGTACGCGTGTTGTATTTGTTTTGTTGCAGGTCTAATTAGATTGAGCCTTTAATATATGATTTTAAGCAATGTACCATTGCCTGCATAACATTTAGAGACGGGAAAGAGGAAAGTGCTGGTGGTGTAACTGGAATAACTCCTAGTTATGGAAGTCAAACTCCTATGTATGGATCAAGAACCCCTATGTATGGTGCTCAAACGCCTCTTTATGATGGTAAGTGTTTTAGGAGATAAAAAAACGTTGATTGATGTAATGTAGTGATAATTGCAAGGTAATGGTTCATCATATGCATATTAGGCAATCGGACTCCTCGCTATGGTTCTCAAACACCTATGCATGATGGTTCAAGAACACCAAGTTATTCCAGTGCGTGGGATCCGAAAGTACCAAATACTCCATCAAGGTTTGCCTATCGATATAAATTTAAAATTAGTAGCTCAGATACTGATTGGCATTTCTTAAATTCACCAATTGTGTAAGTATAGCAGAACAGAGGACGATTTTGATTATAACACAGACAGCGTAAATCCATCGCCTCAAGGATATCATAGTAATCCAGTAACGCCAGGTTGGATAAAATAATAATGATCTATCGTAGTACTCTTGGATGTGCGATTACTAGTTATATACTGTATTTAGTGTTTGTAATAAGAGACATGCTATACAATCAATTGTTCTATAGGCGCTTACTCTGCGAACTCTCCCGGATTATATCCAAATACACCGCCAAACATGTCTGCGTCGTACACACCAATTGGTAGCGTGTACTCATCTGAAACTTCGTATTCACCTTATGGTTCTGTTCCTACTGCATCGCCGGCGTTATCAAACCCCATGACACCTATGAACCCAATATCTCCTGCTATCAATCCACCAACACCCGGTATGCCTTCGGTGGAATTAGACAGAGGTAAGATTACCAGGCATGCAATATATTCTTGTATGATTTTGTGTAAAAACTAACAAACATTAAATTGTTGCAGCCATTCCTGATTGGCATACTATTGGTATAGAAGTAGAAGTAGTTAAATCTGAGGTATACGAAAAATTTTTTTTCAATCAACTATGCTAATATAAGATTGCTCCATTTACAGTGTGAATTAGAGTATTATTTCTAGTTTTCATAGCTAACCTCTTGTTTTATTGACATTCGATTGTAAATCAGCAACACAAGCATTTGGGACAAAGAGGAGGAATACGAAACATTTCTGTAAGCATTATTTTGATCTAACTATCGTTGAGTATTTATCATTACAACGGCATTAAAGTATAAAATTGATGTTAATAAATTATTGTTATTGTAGGGGGACTGCTGCAGTGTCTATTTATATGATGAAAAGATAGAACGCGAATTTACAAAGTTATCTTTACGACCAGTCATCCCTAAAAAGAACGATAAAGTACGTTGTAACAGGATTAGAATAGAATTTATCTTTTGTTAGCATTAGACTAAACTTACTTTTCTAATTAAATTGTGTAGGTTATGATCATACAATCGGAGCATAGAGGTTCTGTGGCAACATTGATCAACATAGATAACGAAGATGGTGTTATACGATTTGGAACAGACGGTACCGTGACTATTTTAAAATTAGAAAATTTAGTAAAGGTAGCTAATATGTAATCATCGTTGGAAAGACTACCAAATAGTAAATGTAAAAATTTAATGTTTAAATATTATCCGTCGTTTACCAAATGAAGCTGCATATGAAACGTGGTTAACGGCAATTAATCGCTCTTAGCAGAAATTGCTGAGGCAAAATGACAAATCACTCCAGTATATGTATTTATAAATATTCGACTCAGTTTAGAATTTACTGGCAATGCTCGAAGCGGTTTTAAAATCGTTAGAATTTTTGATTTAAGTAAAATGACTTATATTCAAAGTTGTCTTTAATAAACATGTTTCCGTTTAAGGCTTTGTTCATTCTCCTGAGGTTAATTTGTGAGAGGAAAGACGTACACATTTTGCTATATAAGGGTCATATTTCTGGAGAATATTTGCTTGATAGCATTGGTAGTGACTCTTTGTATGAGAGTGGGTCTATATTATGTGAGAGTGAAGCGATATACTGTTGGAGTTGCACCTCCTGATCGGTATTGCTATACGCGTTACATTCGTAGACTACTAGTAATATACACATATCTAGTCGTTCATGGCACAATTTTTCTATTTTTCTATTACATCTAAGATAACTATTCTTATGGCATGCGTTAACTCGTTTCTAAGTAGAAAACTGCAGAAATGCATGTTAGGATGACTTGTTAGCTGTAATACCTGGTACAACTGATAGTTGCGAACCAGTTGAACTATTACATCATATACGAATGATCATTGAATGCATGCTATAATCCCGTTGAAGATTTGTAACTCAAAACGAATTAATGATAACAAAGCTCAAACTAGCGCAACATGTTAGACTCTGAAGAAGATACAATTATTTGGTTTTTCAGATTATTAGAACGGTATTACCGGCACAACTAGCTATCAATATTAAAAATTAACGATAATGTATAATTAACATAAGGTAAAGTTCCCTGTTGTAAATTGTATTATTGCTGCAGTAAAGAGCTGTCCATCATTCATGAATATCGCTGAACAGAAAATACGAAAAAGGATAGAATATTATAAATTAGGTGCAAGTCTACATTGATGGAAATTATAAAGATTTTACACATCTTTAGTTTCATGAAGATATCTACTTAAAGTGACTGAAACATGAAAACGTTTTGCTCTATTTATAACTACGCACTACTATATTTTCAATTCCAAAACTACAGAATTTTTCTAAGAGTTAGCGAATTGCTTTTATACGAATTACAACTTAATCAGGCATTAGTTAGACCACAGAGTTACGACGTGCATACGATCACGTACCATTGGAATGGAAGCGTTTAGCAGATTCCCTGCTGATAATGATGAGCAAGGATTTGCTTCTCATAATAAAGGAACGAGAGGCGTTCTCTGTTCGTTGCTTAGTAACTGCGCTCGACTGCTGAATATTAAATGGTGAAATATATTATTACGTCGATTTACTGCCATAAATTAATTTCGTTAGAAAGTATCCTGGAGGTTTTCGATAGATTATAACTACGAAATATTATTTAAACTATAATATGTTAGAAAAGGTAACGGTAAGGGGTACAATTACGACACAAATAAAGATTGATCTTTATTAATCTTCACACAAACTGAGAAGTTTGTTCGCCAAACCGGTACTTTACATCGGTAATAAGATAGGACGATTAATACAGGAGTGATTAATTCATGCGTTATTGCGGGGAAAAAAGCCGTTAAGGTTTATTTAAAAACCTAGAAGAAAAAAGTATAACTGTTAGGTACCACAAGCAGTTAACTTGTTCTTACTCTGTATATTTAAGAAAAGTAATTATAATTGATCAAAAAGAACAGAAATAAAAAAATGGAGAAGGACTCAATCGTTGAAGAAGAACACAAGGAAACAATAAAAGCTGCTATTTCAGTATCCCCGAAATATCTGGAATTATATCACGAATCCAGTTTTACAGACATTAAATTAATTATTGGTGATCGCAGTTTCTTATGCCATCGAATAGTTTTAGCTGCATGTAGTGAATATTTTTGCACTATGTTTACGAGTGATTTTAAAGAAAAGAACGAAGCAGAAGTGAACCTAGTAGAGATTGATCCTGTGATAGCCTCTCTCGTTATCAAGTACATTTATGGTCATGAATTGGAATTGACACTAATGGAATTATCGCGTGTTCAGGCGATTTACACACTAGCTTTGCAATGGACAATCAGGGAATTACAGAAGCAATGTCATGATTGCTTTATTGCCATCATGAATGCCAAAAATTGCTGTCAACTAGCAACTTTTGCCGATTATTATCATGCACCAAATTTACGTGATGAAATTCTAGTTTATATCAGGGAAAATTTCTCCGGATGTATAAAGGCTAAATCGATCAAAGATCTTTCCTATAATTTACTTATTAAATTAATACAATGTGATTATCTTAATGTGACAGATGAAGATTCTCTACTAGAATCCATCAGTATCTGGATTGATTCAGATAGATCACAGAAGAAAAGATATATCATATCTTTGTTAAGTAGCTTACGCTTACCTTATATTTCGCCTGAGTCTTTAATTGCAATAGAAGAAAGATATATTGATGTCATTGAAAATTCGCTTGAATATTTAAATATGCTACGACGAGTTAAAAATTACAGTCACATTCCGGAAAACTATTTCGATAAATCAGCAAAACCCCGCATGTACATTAAAAATGTTGATTATTGCGGCGTTACGTCCATCCACGTAACCGATGCAAAAAAGGAACAGGATTGCTTCAATATATATGGTATCATTAATAATAAACGTTATTCACTTCAGCGCTTGGATTCCAGTACTTTTGATGATACCAGCAACATTATTCAATTCAAGCGTGTACGCTTAACCTATGCATCCGTCTGTGTAGGTCATAAAATCATCGTATTTGGAGGCGTTAATGAAGGTAGATTGAATTAACCTCTATCAGTGTGTAATTATAACAACAGTACAGGATTTAAATTCTCGCTAAATCTAGAGACTAGAATACTATTTCGTATAACGATGATGATATTTACTGTATCTACTGTATTGCACATGCCTTGTCGTGGATAATTTTTTTCAGGAAGATCATGCGATCGACTATATTCAGCCTGTACGACATTTGAGCTATATCTTTATTTATCATCACAGTAATTCTAGAGTTTTAGAATCTGTGCCATTCCAATGCTGTCATTCTGTATAATCACCATTGATAGATAACTTATGAAATTAGCTATCTAAAATATTTAATTTATTGATGTAGATAAGCAAGTTCTGGATTCTATAGTCGCATTCGACGTCCGAAAAACTGAATGGACAGTTCCTGTGTGGGGTTTTGAATTGCCGGAACCTTTAGCTTACCTTGCAGCCTGCATTTACAAGGATGATATATATATAATGGGTGGCTTAAACAAGAATAATCTGTGTTCAAATAAAGTATGGAGACTATGTAGGCAAAACAAGACTTGGGAAGCAGTAGCACCATTCAATACTGCTCGTAAATGCTGTCAAATTGTTGTGGTGGATAATTCTATCTACATTGGTGGCGGTCTAGATGATAACGAGGAATTGATTACAACATTCGAAAGATATAATCCTCTACTTAACACTTGGAATATTGTTTATGAACTTAAGACTGTATGTCATTCCATTCGCTTAATTTACGCTCGTAGTAAATTATTTATCTATCACAGTCAAAGTATTTACGACTGCTACATGCAAAGTGTAGATGGAAAATGGTATAAAGCTTCCGAAAGCAAAATTAGTGAATGCAGTCGAGAAATTCACGGTAGTGATTACATAACCGATGGTTATATAGCTATCGATCAAAAGACGAATGGATATGGCTTCTTTATTCCACGTAGTAAATGCGAGTATAATGTCAAACCTGTGGAAGAAATTCCGAAAAAAGCAAATCGCAGATCACAATTTAATTTTTTCCAATAGAAATTAATCATACTGTATAATTATATATCGGATGATACACGTATAGTTGGCCTCTTTCAAAGATGAAAAATCGCTGCGATACCATTAATAACTCTGTTGTTGTTACTGGTTGCGAATGGAGCCTAGTTTATTTCGATTACTTGTCTGAAACTGTATTTTAAATATTAATATACCCGTAAGATACAATAATATTTAAATTTATTGAAAGTATTGAAATTTTTTTCACTCTTAATTACCATGATCCTAAATTTAATCATGAAAAATGCATGTTTGGTTCCTTACAATCCTAGATATTACACTATAAATTAGTTAGTATTCAAATAAGACCAACCGTTATGTAGATAATCTGATTAACCATTAAAGATCTAGCATTCGCTAATGACTCGCAATTGATATAATCTGCAATAAGTCTTAATGAAAAGGTAATTTGACTACATGTTCGATATATCATAGTACTCTAGCAACAATATTAGTAACTGTATATACAATAGCTAATGAATAAATGAAGAGCAAAGAAGCAGTGATTTTCATGGATAGATTTGAGCATCCTTTATGTTATAAGAAAAAGTTCTGTATATGACGGTTATAGAATCAAAGCTGAAAGGAATTTATAACAAAAAACAAAAAACTACCTTCATGTGTGCAAGTGTTAGTATAAAATATAGAGTATAAAACCTGTTGTATTAGGATAAATATTTATGATATTAAAGTAAATAGGTAGCTATATAAGAAGTACGGAGAGATGCTAAGGATGTCGAATTAGAGAAATAAATGATGAGGAGTGCCACTTATTATACTATTTATTATCCTAACTGATCGACGTGAATCTCTTTTTATGATGTAATAAAGTCCACTTTACCGTTACCTGTTATTGGAAATTTATATAAAGAAGATTTAACTAGGAAAATAGTGATTTTTACAGCATATTAAGATGATTTATTGCATCTCATACATTTTATAACTGATAGTTACAAAGTTGTATAAGTATGATATTTTATGCCTGTGGTTGTAAAGATTCGTAACCGAGATTGTTTTTATGATGAGGAAGTTCAAATCAGTACTGCATAGTGTAATATGAAAAAGAAGTAATTTTGTCATTTTCTGAGATATATTAAAGCGATAGTATTAAGCGACAGTACAGAGAAAACTATCTATCGTTATTAAATTAGCCGTAACATAGCTTAACTTAAGCTAAATTTCTTTTTGTTAATTAGAAAAACATTGCACAATAGCTCAATGAAAGAGCTTTATACACTTCATCATTCGCAGATATCAGAAGAACAGAAAATGCCAAAACAGGATAGCTGTTTATAAACTGCGTACAAGTGTGCTATTGGTAGCAACGATGAAGGTTTTAAATGTCTAGCATCAATTTTTGCATGGGAATAACTCTACAGTATTTGGAGGAACTGAAATAAGAAGTCGTTTTGTAATATTGATAACTTTAGACTATCAGGCTGATAAACTACCTATAATGATTCTGATAATTTTTACACGATAGAGCTGGTATTAAATCTGAATTACCATTTAATCATTAATTATTTAGATAGTAGAGTTATGAAGTATCGCATTAACGAACAGGTATACTCGGAAGAAAAATATTTAGTAGACTTTCAGCTGATAATTAATTAATTATGGGAAACAATTTGACTAACGTTATAAAGGAAGGAAGGGCATCCTCTACTGGTTGCCTAGTAGCTACGCTAGGCTGCTGGATATTTAATGGGGCACATTGTTATCATATCGAGTTGCTACTATAATTATGCCCATCAGGAAGCATCCAGCCGATTTTAGATAATTTATGACTACGAATTATTCGTTTGACTATAGTATATTAGAAAAGGCAATAGTATGAGGTACAGCTACGATATAAATAAGAATGCAGCTGATGAATAGTCTTCAAACAAACTGAACTGAACAGTTTGCACATAAAAAACTGCCACCTTACGCCTGTACTAAGATAGAACGATTAGTGCAAGAGCGATAAATTATATACTTATAGCTTATTGCAGGTAAAACGCTATTAATAACCTATAAACCAGGAGGAAATTCCTATACTTATTTGGTGTCCCAAGTAGCTTACTTGCTATTATTTTATATCTCTGCAGCGGTGATTAGAACGGATCATAACGAAAAGGAATATGGAGGAAAATAACGAGTCAGTCACTGTTGAAGATCACGAGGAAGTGTTTAAAGCCTTTGTTTCGGTCTCTCCAAGTTATTTAGAATTATATGAAGAATCTAGTATTACGGATATTAAATTGATTATTGGCGATCGTAGCTTCTTATGCCATCGAGTCATTTTAGCTGCACATAGTGAATATTTTCGTACTATGTTTACTAGTGATTTTAAGGAAAAGGACAAAGCAGAAATTAACTTAATTGAGATTGATTGTAGCATTGCATCGATCGTTATTAAATACATTTATGGTTATGTGCTAAAGTTAACATTAATGAAATTATCGCAAGTTCAGGCAGTCTATGCGCTAGCACTACAATGGGCTATCAAGGAATTACAGGAACAATGCCATTGCTACTTTATCACCATCTTAAACGCTAGAAATTGCTGTCAATTAGCAACTTTTGCTGATTATCATGCGCCAGATTTACATGATGAAATTCTAGCTTACATCACTGACAATTTCTTTAGATGTATCAAGACTAAATCACTTCAGGATCTCTCGTATAATTTACTTGTTAAATTAATACAATGTGACTATCTTAATATTATCAATGAAGATCAGATACTTGAATCTCTTAATATTTGGATAGATTCAGATACATCCAGTAGGAAAAAATTGATAGTATCTCTCTTATGTCATTTGCGTTTAGCATACATTTCGCCGGAATCTTTAATTTCCATAGATGAAAGGTATATGAATGAAATTGAAAATTCGCTTGAATATTTAAATGCGATACGGCGAGTTCAAAATTACCGACAAAATCCTGAAAATTATTTCGATAAATCGACGAAGCCACGCATGTACTATGAAAACATCGATTTTGTTGGCGTTACATTAGTCCACGCAGCCAGTATGAAAGCAGATTGTTATAATTTACATGGTATAATAAATTGCAATTGCTATCCTCTTCATCGATTTAATTTCAGTACTTCAGATAAAGTTAAAGATTTTACATTATTTGAGCGTGTGCGCTTGACCTATGCAGCTGTTTGTGTTGGTCATAAAATTGTTGTTTTTGGAGGCATGAATGCAGGTAAATTGAAAAAATTTAGTCTATCGATAATCTTTGGCCAGTAAAAAATATGGCCATACAATAATAGTATTGGGCGCCGAATTAGCTGTAATGCTTGTCTAATTTCGACATCAAAATTCTATCTCGCCTACATTTATCTACGATATAAATTTAAACCTAAACTATCTGATATTTTTTTATCAAATAAATCAATTGCAATTATTATCATACTACCTATGCAACATAAACCTCCATAAATTATAACTATGAATTAATATAGTGGTCTAAAAGCTTTGACAATTTTTTGCCTTTTCTAATCCTTCAGTTATGAATGTTTACTGTTTATAGATAGATTATAAATTGATTCTAATTATATCATGCGCTCGTATTCAATTTTTTGACGCAGAGAAAGAAGTTCTGAATTCAGTAATTGCATTCGATTTCCGAAACGCTGAATGGACAGTTCCAGTGTGGGGTTTTGACTTACCACAACCCTTAGCTTACCTTGCTGCTTGCATTTACAATGACGAGATATATATTATGGGTGGCTTAAATGAGGATGGTCAATGTTCCAACAAAGTATGGAAACTATGTAGACAAAGCAAGACTTGGGAAGCAGTGGTATCACTAAATACTCCTCGTAAATGCTGCCAAGCTGTTGTTGTTGATAATTATATCTATATTGGCCTTGATCTAGATGATAATGAAGAATTAATTACAACATTTGAAAGATATGATCCTATACATAATACTTGGAATTTCGTTTATGATATTACAGCATCAAATCTTTCAATGCGTTTGCTTTATGGTCGTAGGAAACTACTTGTCTACCGCACTCAAATTTTTCACGAATGCTACATGCAAAGTCTAGATGGGAAATGGTATAAAACTTCCGATTACAAAATTAGCCAATTTAGTAGAGAAATAAATGGTAAAGATTATATAACCGATGGTTATATAGCTATTGATCAAGAGACGATTGAATATGGTTTCTTAATTCCTAGCTGCAAATGGCGGCGCAATATCAAGATATTCGATGCAATTCCGATAAAAACTCCGAGAAAATTAGGAGGTCGCAGACGCTAGTTATACAATGTAATAGCGTCTCTGTATCTAATTATATGATTTCTTGTATTGTATTCATATCGGTTGTATTGCAACCTTATCAGAACTTAACGGCATTAGTTCTGTTCCTAACTAGATCAGTATAGGTACTGTATTTGTCCAGTATATAAGGTGGTGAGAAATCAGAATATAGGTAGATATTCACGTGGAAGCTTAGCTGCCGATCTCGCTTCAGTTGACTGAGAGCATACAGAAAAACAGACGCTATCGCTACCGCTAACACAGATCACAATTTAATTTTTCCAGTAGAAGTTAACCATACTTTATAATTTAATAATTATTCAGATGATCTTATGAAAGTGGATAATTGCTGCGATACCTTTTATAATAAGAATAAATATCTCTGTTTTTGTCATTGTCAAAGAAAAACTAATCATGTTCATCGAATTTATTTGATATGGTAACTTTGACTTATTTATATTCGGTGTTGTCACGATAAGAACCGCCGTGAAGAGTAAATGATTAAATTTAGTGTTTAACATTTAGATATGGAGATAACTAATAATGCCTTACAGTAAGAACTACTGTGGTTATTTTTTGTTACAGTAAATTAAACGGTATTATGGTAAGAGTTCTCATAAGGTAACTAATATTAATTGATTATAGTGTTATATCTTGTAACGCTTGTGATGAACATCCTGAAGATATTCAATTTTAGATGATATCATAAATAATTCTGTGTGTGGACATACTATAACTTAATTATCTAGAATCGTTTAGTACATGTCCAAATTATGAATACTGTCTGTACTAATTTAGCTATCCAATTTGAGCTAAATTTCATGCCCTGCTATGACTCATACATGTTAGCTGCTGCCAAAGGGTATTTAAGCTCGGCAGATAGTTGAATAAAAAAAAGGGTTTTATAGTTGTTTTAACGTAGAAGCAAAGGCGTCTAAATTCTTGTGCGGTAGTTAAGGGATACTGAATCCCGGAGACTGTAGTAATTTAAAGATTTGTTTTACGTTATCTTTGTCACGAAGCTGATTTGTGACAGGTGTTATATAGAGGCTGAGAAGAAATAACTTCTTTCGTGACAGAGTTACCGTATTTTATTGTTGTAATTTATAAATTAACTTAAATTGGTCCTTTTTTATGCAGGATTATAGAAAGATTTATGAAGTCTGACATTACTTTGCTTTAGTTGGG